TATCCATAAATGAGTGAGTTCATGTGGTATTTTTCTCAGCTTCCCAGGGCCGTCTCAGTCTCACAGGGGCCGTCTCAGCCTCACAGAGGCCATCTCAACCTCACATGGGCCGTTTCAACCTCACCGGGGTCGTTTCGACCTCACCAGGGGCTGTCTCAGCCTCACCGGGGCCGTCTCAACCTCACATGGGCCGTTTCAGCCTCACCGGGGCCGATTCAACCTCACCGTGGCCGTTTTGACCTCACCGGGGCCGTCTCGACCTCACTTTTGCCGTCTCGACTTCACCGGGGCCGATTCAAGCTCACTGGGGCCGTCTCAGCCTCACCGGGGCTGTTTCAATCTCACCGGGGCCGTTTCAACCTCACCGGGGCCGTCTCAACCCCACTGGGGCTGCCTCAGCCTCACCGGGGCTGTCCCAGCCTCTTGGGGGCCGTCCCAGCCCAACGGGGGCCGCCTCGGCCTCACGGGGGCCATCTTGGCCTCACGGGGGCTGTGTCAACAACACAAAGTTTGGTATACTGTCCTTTGTTGGGCGGCTCCTTTCTGGACAAAATCTCCAGGCGTTCCTGGTGGCTGAATATCTGGTATGCTTGCTTGGATTTCGTTTTCTACCAAGTGCACAGACTGCCTGTCTGCTGTCTCCCAGCGTCCCATGTGAGACTGGATCTGGTGGGCCTGCCTGTGCGTTTGCTGGTACAGCGGTTCCACGTCGCCGCTCAGTGGACTCGAGAGTCTGCAGCCCCTTCCGATCGAAAAAAACCGTGCATCCAGTTGCAGCCCGCCTGGCGCACGATTCCGTACCTCCATTCTTGGAGCCTCTGCACAACCTACTCAGTCTCAATGCTCTTCTTTCTTTCCTTCCAGTTGTAGAGCTTCCACTGGGCCAGCTTTCCCATGGTTCTGAATGATAGCTGTTTGTCTTATAGTTGGTAGCCTCGATGTTGTTGTGGGAGGCAGCACGCACAGGTCTGTACCTTACGCCGCCATCTTGGTTCTCAGGGCTGGGGCTTTTAAATGTGGCCTGGGTCTTTGGGGGTGGCTGAGCATTCTCCAGGTCCCTGATCTCAGGTTCTCTGAGTAGGGGCTCCCAGAGGCTCGAGTGAAAAGTACGGGCAGATGGACAGGAGACAGGTGCTACTGAGTCTTCCTGGTTCTGGGGCAGGTGGGGGAGTGTGAGGTCTCCTTCCTGAAGTAGCGGGGAGCCAGGAAAGGACTCCAGAACAATGTGGAGACCCCTCCCCTGCTATTGGCAGGCAGTGTGGTGCTCTGGGCAGTAGAGGGCGCCACTGCACTGGATTTGGGCTACCTGGGAACAGGACACTGCAGGCTCCTCGAAGAAGGTGCAAAATTAAAATCTGAGAATCCCAGGGCTGGGAGGGCTCTCAGGTGAGCAGGAACAGGTCACCTCAGGGAAGTCATCCTGGGGGCTGGTGCCACACGCTCCCTTGTTCTGACATGGTTGCCCCTGGGGGAAACCCCTGCCCTCAAGTCTCCAGTATCGGCTCCCCAATCTGGCTCCGAGGGGGCGGGGGAGGAACTAAGACACAAGCAGTGGTGGGGCTGAACCACGCTGGTGCCGTGTGGGGGTCTTGATAACTGAGCCTCCCCAGGGCAGTCTGGAGGACCAGACTGGGAAGAGAGGGCCTGCGGGGGGTGGACCCCTTTATGGAGGGGAAGGAGGAAAGCATCTGAAAGGGAGAGAGAGGCTGAGGGCTGGGAGGTCATCTTGGTGCAGCAAGTTGTAGATGGGCTGCGAGCCCAGGATTCCTTGTTCTAGGGGAGAGGCGCCAGGGACACTGGTATGAGTGTTGTAGATGTGTGCACACACATATGTGCATATGAACATGTGTGTGATACGGCTGCAGGAAGACTGAACCAGTAAAATGGCCAAGGGAGGGCTCAGGAATGTGAAAGGCCTTTCCCCCATCCACACACATGCCAGCGCCTCAGGGACTCCACCGACTGAAGCATGCTGGGACACTGTTCTAATCCAGGAATGACTAACACATGGCATGCTGCCTCCACAAAGCCTACTGTCATGGCAGACACCACTCATCGACCACGGCTCCTTATAATATTTCTGCACAGCTCTTCAAGTGGCGGCAACTTGACATTCTGAGCTAAAACTATTTCATTTAGAGAGATCTATACCATCTGCCTCTAAACCAGTGGTTCTCAACCTTCCTAATGCCACGACCCTTTAATACAGTTCCTCATGTTGTGGTGACCGCCAACCATAAAATTATTTTCGTTGCTACTTCATAACTGTAATTTTGCTACTGTTATGAATCATCATGTAAATATCTGATATGCAGGATGTATTTTCATTGTTACAAATTGAACATAATTAAAGCATAGTGATTAATCACAAAAACAATATGTAATTATATATGTTTTCCAATGGTCTTAGGCAACCCCTGTGAAAAGGTCGTTCGACCCCCAAAGGGGTCGCGACCCACAGGTTGAGAACGGCTGCTCTAAACGAAGGGGAATTCTCTTCTTAAGTGAAGGGCCCCCAGAGAAGGACAAGGCCACATTCCTCCAGTCTGCTTCATCACCCTAACACGGGGTGTGGGGAGCAGGGCTCCTCCCAGGAGTCACTGGCTCCACCTCCCTCTAGACCAGCCGTGGGCAAACTACGGCCCGCGGGCCGGATCCGGCCGTTTAAAATGAATAAAACTAAAAAAAAAAAAAAAAAAAAAAAAAAAAACCACCCTTTTTTTTAAAATTTTTTT